GGGGGGGGGGGGACACATCAATGTGTCTAGAGACACATTGGTTGGTTGCCTCCCGCATGCTCCCAGACCAGGGCCGGGGATTGAACCTGCAACCCAGGTATGTGCCCTTGACGGGGAATTGAACCCACAGTCCTTCGGTGCATGGGCCAACTCTCTAACCACCGAGCACACCGGCCAGGGCAGGCATTGAGTTCTCGATTACTGAACTCCGATGCCCCGAATATCCCAGCACCAGAGCAGCAGCTCCTGAATTAGGGACCTCGTTTTCTCTCTGTACCCTCGCCGCCTAAAGCGACGCCTGGCAGAGTGCCTGCAGAATGAGTGAGTGAATGCATGCGGGCTATGGCTTTGAACAGCATTTCACATGAGAGTTTTAGGTTGGCCCTTCCCTCTGCCCCTGCCAAGCTGGTAAGGCCGAGGTGGGGTGAGGCCCTCGCTTCACCTGGTGTTCACCACGCCCCGCAGCTGCCCGCCGATCACTGGTCCTCGCTGCTCCATGGCCTCTGTCTCATCTTGTAGGATGATGTGACTGTCACGCCACGAGATAAGATCGGTACCCTCATTAAAGCAGCCGCGTAAAGGTCCCGCCAACATCAACAGAGCCGCCTCTGCACCTGTCCCAGCAGGAGGTCCTGCCCCCTCCCCCACTGCCACCCCAGCCCAGGAGAGTGGAACAAAGAATTTAGGAGGCTGACGATGGCACTGGCTTTGGTCTTTTTGACTAAACCTTTTCTATGACATGGTCAATAGAAAGCTGAACTCTTGAAAAAAAAGAAATTTAGATTGTTAAAAGTCGCAACCCAGAGATCCAGCCACAGCTGCTGGGACAGTGGAATGAACACATACAGGGTGTCCCAAAAAACATATACACACTTTAACAGCTGACAGCTGTTAAATGGAAATGAAATGTATTTTAATAAACACTGCCTTTATAATTCAGTGTGTGTAGACAATTGTTTGGGACACCCTATATTTGGTGTACGAATACGTTGGGGTGTTTTCTTTCCCATTCCTTCCAGGAGTGGGCTCATTAGATAAGCCGGGAGCAGGGTCAAGAGTTCTGGTTCTGGAGTCACATAGTCTGAATTTCAGATTCTGTCTCTGCCACTTACTAAGTATGACCTTGGACCAGTTCCTTAAGCTAAGCCTCAGTCTTCCCATCTACCAAATGAGATACTAATAGTACTGTTGACATCAAAGAAGTGTTGAGAATTAAATAAGATAATGCATGTAAAAAACTTGGAGAATGGTAAGGACACTCAATAAATGTCCAGTTCTCAGTAAACCACTCCTGCTGTTTACCCAAAGGCCCTCCACCTTTTACTGTTTTAGATGAAGTTTCTTGAGTTCAAGGACTCTCTCTGTTGGCCTCTTTCCATCAAACACTCACTTCAAGCCAAGCATTGACTCTGCCAGGTTAGGGGAATTAAGTAAGAAAAGATCTTTCTCTCCGGAAGCAGTTACAGCCACAGAGGAAACTGCCAACTTACAAAACAGTGCATGGGGCCCTGAATGAAGTCATCACTGTCCAAGAGCCCAAAAAAGTGGCACTTGACCTGCAGGGGAGTGGGGATTAGCTAAGAAGGCTGGTGTGAGCCTCAGAGGAGCTCCCCGACAGAAATGGGGGAGAGGACAGCTAGGCAGAAGGAATCTACACAAAGCCACCACATCATTTCTCAGCCTTCCTGCTGCCCTCAGATTCCTAGGTCTCTTTGGAAAAGTCACTGCCAGTGGTGGAAAGAATGGACTGAGTTGGCAGATGGAACTACACTGGCCAGGAGACAGGCTAGCAGGCTGGAACCTCCAGCCAGGCAAGAAGTAAAAACGTAACTAGGACAGCAGGTTCCAGGATGACACGTTTGCTCTGTGCATCCAGCAGGTAATGGGATTCAGAGGGCTGAGCTGCCAGGAGGTCGAGTCTCAGCATCTGCCTGGCAGCTGTAGCCACTGGCTCGAGTTCTACAGGCAGGGGGTGTAGAGGGCTTGGTGAGAACACCAAGCACCAGATAATCTACAGGAATGTTTCAGATACTTCTTCCTGACTGACCCAGTGTATCCGAACTGGGTATAGCAATGGTCTTTTAAGCAATAGTTCAAAGACATTGGGAAGTTTCCCGGCCAGGAGGATCAGAAGGGAAAGCAGAGTCCTTTGAGGAGGAAACTGGGTCTGTAAAGCAGGTCCGCAGTCCTTCTGAGCATGAGGATTCCACCTTTTATAACTAGCGGCTGTATTGGGTTTCCCCCTCAATCAGTTGTAGACTATTGATTTTTTGATACCACGTATTATTTTGCAAATAGCTCACATATTACACTAAATTGACCTAAGTGACACACTGCAGATAAGCAGGACTGCCAGCCTTCCGGCCATGATACTGGCCACTTGAGACAAGCTATCTCCCATCAGCCCACGGCCAGTTTCCACTGAGGTGAAATGACATGAAACTGTGTCAGCTGAGCTGCTTCTAACTTGAGAGTCAGTGTATCTGAAAAAGGAAGCTGAGTGTTGGACACAGTTAGATTCATTAAGTAGTTTATTGACAAGGCTGCAGGATTCAGCAGTGTCTAATTCAGGTCCCAGCTACAACAGCGGAAATTAAAAACGAGTAATTCAGCTCACAGTGCAAGATATTTCCAGGATTTTTTAATTTTTCTGGTGAAATTTTAAAGTAAGCTCACCCAGCACCCTGATTAGCATATTAATATAAAGACAGTGAAGTACAAAAATGTGATAAATACTATTTATTGCGACTAACTGCTCAGGTTATCAGCTTTTTAATAAAGTAAAACTTTATAGTGAAAATAATATACGAGACGTAGCTTTTTCAAAGCTCTTTTGATGATCTGCTTACAAAATGTTAGATACATCATCCTCGACAACAATACACGAACACGCCTCCTGCGAGGAAAGCCGAACACTGCGTAGACAGGCTGACTGCGGAGAACCAGAGTAGCTTCTTGATACCTCGGGGAGACCATACTTTGAAATTGTATGAGGGCAGCTTCTAAGCAACGTTGGTCTTAGGTGAACAGCGAAAATTTCCACCTGAGAGGCTGCTGAGGGGTTTCAGAGAGGAATTCCTTTGGCTCTGACATGTTCACTCCAGCTCCACCTTGCCTTTCTGATGCCTCTTCATTCTCGAGTAGGGACTGATTGTATCATCCATCACAAAATCATACAGGACTTTGATCCAGGAATCATAGTGGGGCAGGTTGTCGTAATACTCGGCGGCTATCTTCCTCACCTGGAAGGGAGAAAACACAGCAAGGTGAATACTGAGGCTTCACCAGGTCCTACTGAAGATGACAGACGAGACACAAACACTGAGAGACCACAAGACCATTCTCCCTCCTAACCCCTCCAATCAATCATCAACCAGTGAAGCAGCTTCAGGAATTTTAAACAATTTCAACAGTAAAATATACTCAGCCCTGGGATTACTGATGCTCTCCTATCAAGCTCTGAGGGACTACATATGTGGTTTATTTGTAAAGTTTGGCCCTTGGAATCTTTAGTGACAGATGCTTGTTATTTTTCCAGCACATGCCGCATGGTTGGCACTGTAGAATACAAAGATAACATGTGACCCCTGCCATCAAGAAGCCTGCAGATACTAATAAATTATTGTGGCATGCCAATGAGATGGGAATGAGGCACCTATCCAGGGTGCAGTTCTGCCATCCTAAGCTGAAAATGTCTTTTAAAAGTGACTGCCAGTGTGACCAGGAAGCACGACGGGCCTGTGGCTTCACCGAAATGTACAAAAACTGTCCTAGTAAATCCCAAAGGAAAACAAAACAGCAGAAGCCTAGATGGTGAAAGGAGACAGCAAGGAAGAGAAAGGCGACGACGTTGATGTTTAAATTGCTCCTTCAGCTGGGGAAATGGAATAGTACTTTCGGTTGTGGAGAACCAGATGAGTGTACCGCTCTCAAAGACAGTCAAGTCAGAGCTTCCCCCATGGCATTCCCAGGCAGTCAGAAGACACAGTGACATAACACCTTTGATCACAGCCCTTCAAAATCCTAAAGCTCCTCCACGAGTAAGGGCGATCGACAGACCACACATGTTCAAATAAACCTGGATCCCAGTCCACCCTGAACTTAGGTCAAAGCCAGCGGTCACCAAAGTATTTTAACGGCTGGAGTAGGTAGGAGATATGTACTATCTTTCCGAAAGAGTAAAGAAACGGGACAAGGCAATCCTTGACGTCCATTTCTTGGCATGGGCTTTTGGAGAGAAAGCAGGGAACAGGAGGCCAGAGAAGTCTAAGGGTGCCTGTTAGTTTAGCTAAGGAGTAAGAAGACAGCATGAAATGGGGGGAAACAAAGAGACATCGATGAACAGGACCTTAAGGTCAAGTAATACCTGCACTCAACTAAGTTTTCAGTCTGGGGACTGTTCAGGAAAATAACTAGTAAAAGTGTATGGCTTATGCTGGAAAAGGTTCTCTTGTTCAAAGGGCAACCAGCTTTCTCCATAACCCTTTGAAAAATAAATACAAATTTACTTCCCTAGTTGGGGAAGAGGCGGAGGCCACACGTGGCTCTATTGAGGCCAGCACGTGGGCAGTGACAAAGCAGCATCACATGACATCGGTTTCAGAGTTGTCTTCAGAAAGTTGTGTGGTGTGTCTCCCCATTTTATTTTGATTTACTACAGAAGAGCTGATGAAATAGCAAAACAAACACCCAAATGCTCTCACCTAGGCCCACCCACTGATGAACACTGTGTCAGTGCTTTCCCTCTCTATATAACATACACCACATACTTTGCTTTCTTTGCTGAACCTTTTGAAGGTAAGTTGCAGACATTAAGTGACAACTTACCTCTAATACTTCACCTGTATGTAACCAACATGTATTTCCTGAGGACAGGGACATTCTCCCACAAAATCATGGTACCATTATCATTCCCCAGAAATTGAACATCGACATATGATCTATTACACAGTCCAGATTCAGAATCTCTCCACTGACCCAATGTCCTTTCTAGATTTTTCTTTCCTCAATTGGGAATCCAATCAAATGTTACATTTTTAAACAGTCGACATTTAAAAACTTTTGAGGAAATCTGTAAAATTTGATTGGGAGGAGATGATAGCATAAAATAATCTGGCTATGGTCCCTCTATCAGCTTTTAAAAAAAATCAAGAAAATCTATTATGACATTTCATACATACACACTTTTTTTCAGAATTATGGAAACATTTTTGATAAGAGAACTGTAAAAACTACTCATTGTGAGGATGGGACATCTAATAAGAGAATTCACCAGAAAGATACCTGAAGTTAGGAAGGTGGTCCCTCTGGAGGGGATAAAGGGGTAAGGCTCATTTACTCCACAGACAATACACTAAAAGTCCACTCTGATGGGAAACAGATGGCCCCTGCCTGCGGGAAGTCGGCAGTACAGGAAACCGAGTCCCTTTACTTTGCTCATCAGTTATGTCGGACATCCGTCTTCCACAACAAACCAACACATAAATCTTAGTTAAGCCTATTCAGGTCAACAGTGATGAAGGTCATGTGAACTTTTGCTTACTTCACAGAGGAATTTCACTTTCCATTTCTGAGTTACTTGGCAAGTTAGCGGACTTTGCAGATCCCCCAATACTTCCAAACCCTAAGTGTTACCACTAGGCTTGGGGATCCAGAGTGTGAACTCTAAATTAGGCTGGCAAACTCAGGACTTAGCCTCTTGTTTTCTTGGATGAGAAGCTCACAAAATATACTAGATCCCTTTTTAAATAAGCTGAGACTAATTTTGATCATATAGCCATCAGAAATCAGAACCTATATCATACCCCTTACTTACCAGTGGAAGGTTTTTTCCGGGAATGTTGGGGAAGTCGTGGTGCTCATTATGGTAACCCACATTGAAGGTAAGTAAATTCAGAGGCCCATAATACGAGTAAGTTTCATGTCCCTTTAGGAACATGTAATGTTCAGCTATAAAATGTCCAGAAATCGGATGCAAACCCAGACCAAGTAAGGATGCTGCCAGCATGTAGACTAAAGATTTAATTCCCAAAACGTAGTAAATGATCACGTCAAACGTGAGCTGGACCACAGTATTGATCACTTCCAGGTAAGTGATCGGCTTGGGGTTGATGAACAGAGGTCGAAAAGCGTAAAAGAGAGGCTGCAGAATAACCCATATGAACTTCCTGAAAGTGGTACAGAAGAACCAGCCTTCGAAATCGGTTGGGATGTCCACATCGATGCCATCGCCTCCGAGGTAGCGATGATGATCCATGTGGTACCTCTTGAAGGAAATGGAATAGGGAACGCCAATGGGAAGGTTAGCGAAGATTCCAAACCAGCGGTTCCACATGGCTTTGTAGTGGCCAAAAGCGCTATTGTGGGAAACTTCGTGAATGGCCAGAGTCATTGAATGGTTAATGCAGCTGCCAAAGGCATATGCCCAAAATATGACCCATTTCCAGTCCAAGTCCTTCACTAAGTAAAATGCGGCCAGCTGTGTGAGAACCATCATGATGACAATCCATATCAAGTTGGGATCAGGTTTCATCAAGGATTTTATCTCTGGATACTTTGCTATAAAGAAAAAACAATCAGTCAGGAACTGAGAAAAGTACACAGTTCTACAATCAGAATTAAATCAATACCAATTAAATTAACACATTAATTTTTTTCTTTTTCCAAATCATTACATGCTCTCTGTCAGAGACTTGATCTCCTCAGGAAGGAGTAGATTATAATAGTAAGGTTACTAAATACAGCGTCACAACAAATTGAGAATTTATGTAGGAAAAATTAGCCTCAAAATGTAGACTCTCCACGTTAACTGAAAGGTAGTCACAAATGAGTCAAGGTTTCATGTTGTCCAATTCCATTTTCACCCCTAACAAGTCTTTACAGAGTTAAGGTCACAGTCTGGAAAATCTATTCTATGTGTCTGACAATATATTACATACTTGGAAAGTGACCCCTAAGGGCAAAGGCACGTTCTTCTCTGGATCCTACCACCCAGGGAGAAGGAAATGTCTTTGGTTTTACATGTGTTGTCAGGTATGTTGGGCCCAGGACGGCCAAAGTTCCAAAGAACCTTTTTCTTGGGACAAGTCATTCAGCATGTTCTTGAAAAGATAAAGAAGGGAAAAGAGCAGCTTCACCCTCTTTCCTCTAAATGTGCAATGAATTCAGCTAAAAAATGCAAGACAGGAAGTTAGGTCATTCTATATACAGAGTAGTGTTAGTTCAAGGTGAATAACTCTTTTGGTTTCTTTCCTTTCCCCCTTTCTGTCTCCAGTCTCTAACCTCTGATGTTGGTTGGTATGAGTTCATTTTATCCGTTAATAATTTTGTAGGCAATAGACACCCCCCCAGAAAAGTAATTCTACAGGCCTAGAAATGAATTAGTCTAAGACTGATTTTCCTGGTGTAAATGAAGGGCTCACAGAAGCCATTCATTAAAATATAAGCATTTTTGGAGCAATTCTCCAACTATACAATAACAACTTCAGTTTATTGGTAGACAGTAATAATTCTTTTGTATTAAAGTGTGTTATTTCTGTTTAGACAGAGCTCCAGCATTTGTACCTTATATAAAATGATTAAATGGATACATCTGACAAAGGACAGAAAATAATACACATTTTGTAGGCACTCTTCATGAAACTTATATGCACAGTTCTCCCACACACAGACAAATCAACTTGCTCCAAGGAATTCTGTACCAAATTTTTGCATAGCGTAACAGTATATAAAAATCAATACTATAACCGACCGACATGGCTCAGGGGTTAAGCATTGACCTAGGATCCAGGAGATCACAGTTTGATTCCTGGTCAGGGTACATGCCCGGGTCGTGGGCTCGATCCCCAGGTGGGGAAATTCGGGAGGTGGCCAATTGGTGACTCTCTCATCATTGATGTTTCTCTCTCTCTCTCTCTCTCTCTCCCCCCCTTTCCCTTCCTCTCTCTGAAATCAATAAAGACATATTTTTTTAAAAAAAGAAAAATAAGTAAATCTTAATAATTTTTATGGTTTCTTAGATACTATACCAAAAGCAAAAGTAAGGACAAAAGAAAAAAGTTGATAAACTGGACTGCATCATAAACTTTTATGTGGCAAATGATACTATCAGTAAAGTAAAACACAACCCACAGAGCAGGAGGAAATGTTTGCAAATCATATATCTTGTAAGTGACTTTTATCTAGAATATATAAACTCTTAAAACACTTACAATTTCTGATCCAATTAAAATGGGTAAAGAATCTGAAAAGACATTTTCCAAAGCAGATATACAAATGGCCAATAAGCACATGAAAGATACTCAACATTGTTAGTCATTAGGAAAATGCAAACTGAAACCCAAAAAAGATACTTCACACCCACTAGAATGGCTGTAATGCAAAAGGGAAGCAGTAACAAGGATGTGGGAGAATTGGAACCCACACACATGGCTGGTGACCATGTAAAATGGTGCCGGTTTCTAAAACCGTTTGGGAGTTCCTCAAAGTGTTAAAACACAAAGTTGCCAAGGACTCAGCGACTCCACTCCTAGGTAGCTACCTAAAGCATACATCTGTGCAATAACTTGTTATGTGAATGTTCACAGCAGCTTGGATCATAATAGTCAAAAGGTGAAAACAACCCAAAAGTCTCCCCAATGATGAATGGATAAGTGAAATGTGTTATATCCATACAATGAAATATTATTTGGCCACAAAAAAGAATGGAGTACTGCATGCTACAACATGAACAAACACTGAAAACATTAGGCCAAGTAAAGAAGTCAGGCACAAAAGACCAAGTACTGTATGATTTCATTTATAAGAAATGTCCCCTGAATAGGCAAATCTATAGACACAGAAAGAAGATTAGCGGTTGCGTAGTACTGAGGGTTGAAAATGGGGGCCAGGGACTGCTAATGTGTGCAGGGTTTCTTTTGGGGGTGATAAAGTCCTAAAAAGTAAACTGAAATGATAATTACATAACTCTGAATACACTAGAAAACACTGAATTGTATACTTTAATGGGTGAATTTTATAGTTTGTGAATTATATCTTAAAGCTGTTAAAAAAATTCTATTTCCCTGTGGAAGTATAACCATGAAAGGAGTATTTGTTGTGGTTTATTTGACCCACATGTAATGGTCTAATCCCAAGCCCTCATTAATTTCACATAGATGCCTTATAATGTTACTTTTAATTTAACTCTAAGTGTAAACAGTGTACAGACATTGGTTGTTAAACATATTGATGCTCCCTCATACTTTTCTCCCCCCAAGCCCTAACAAATTTCAGAAATATCTACCATTTACATTTAATGTAAACAAATCTCCAGATTATCTTGACTGATACTCCACCCCTGAAATGGAATACTGAGCAGTATTTACACATGAAGGGAAGATAATGACATTTTCATTGAGCAATATGTAGCCCTTTTATCTTTCCAAGTGAAATGGTTCACTGATAATAAGTGTGTGGAAAAAAAGGCCCTGTTGAGATAAGTATCAATAAGCACCCCTTTTTTTTTTTTTAACTTCCTTGATTTTCTGAATAATAAATAGCTAAGATCCAGTATTCAGGAGTTGGTTTTCACAGGGTGGACACCTGAATATTCTTAGGCAACATGTTGATAAGGCGTATCTCTTGAGTGATTTGCAAAATACACCTTTTAATTAAAAAGAGCCCCGGCCAGGTGGCCGGATTGGTTAGAGCGTTGTCCTGAACACAGGGAGGGGGTGGGCTCCATCCCTCCCGGCTTAGGCGCATATGGGAGGCAACCAACCACCCCTGCTTCTCTCTCTCTGGATGTCTGCCTCTCTTCCCCTACCTCTCAGGGTGAAGATTAAAAAGAAAGCATCTGATAACCAAAGTCTCTTAAAAGTCTACCTTCAATAGCAACTGTAAAGGTTCAAGCTCCCAATGTACCGATTCAAGTCAAGTTAATTTCCAAGGGATCCACTATCTCCTTTCAGTAAAACCATGAAATTTCTAACTTTAGATCCCCCCCGCCCCAGCAAAACTCGGGGGCTTGCTCTTAGATTCCACGGGGCAAGTGGATGCTGAGAAAGCAAGCCTCTAATGCAACGCGCTGCCCGTGAGTGTCCTGGCGTTGGAAGTAACAGCAAGGAGGTGANGTGGATGCTGAGAAAGCAAGCCTCTAATGCAACGCGCTGCCCGTGAGTGTCCTGGCGTTGGAAGTAACAGCAAGGCTTATAATTCCTCCAATATTTACTTATTTACTCTCAGCTCGTCTTCGAAAGAGCAGGAACACGGACCCAGCTGCCAGGAAGAGTAAATTGGGTGACGCTTGTAAAGCACTCGACACAGTGCCCAGCACGGGACTGAGCGTGGCCGAGAGACAGAAGCGAAGTCTCTGAAACCCAGACGCTCGAACGCGGCCTCCGGGGGGACAACGGGCCCGGCGCATCCTCCAGGCTCCGGTCTCCTGTCCGCAGGCCGGGGGTGGGGGATGGACAATGCCCACGAGCCCGCCCTTGGGTGGCGGGCCCGTCGTGAAGATCGACGAGACCACGCGTGTGAGCGCCCAGGACGCGCCCCCGAGAGGCCCCGGGCCCTCCCCGGGGACAGGGCGGCGACGCCCTCACCCCGATGGCCGGGTGCGCGGAACCCCGAAGCTCGGGGACCACGCCCGGCCTCGCAAGTCTGGCCTCGTGGCCCGTTGAGGGGAAGACACGGCGCCCATCGGGGGCACGGGGATCTCCAAAAGAGAAATTCCACCCAAGGGTGGCCTAGGCGGGGTCTGCGCTCGTCCCAACCAGGTGCCCGCGCCTCCCCGGGGAAGGGCGGGCG